ATATATATACATGTATATATATTCGGGGTTGAACGACTACATAATTTTTAAACTCGACATTAACATAATATAATTCGAGTAGAACTTGAGTACTTGATGACATCATAGAATCTAAAGATACAAAAATAAATAAAACTGCAAAAAAGGTTATTATTTAACAAAAACAAAAAAAGACCAACAAAACATTGGGAGCATATATTATGCTCCTACCATTTATCATACTGCAAATAAGTCACAGGAAAAACTAAACTATTAGTTTTTATTATTATTAAGCTGCAAAACTGAAAGAAACGTGCGGCACGTAAAAACCGAAACTTAAAAACAGTGGGGGGGGTCGACCACCCCGCACCACCGCCCGCAGTGCTGTGCATTAGGTTTAGTTTTAGAGATTAATATATTTATAGGTTTTTTTATAGGTTTAGAGATTCATATTTTTTGCTTTTTGTTTGTGAAACAAGGTCAGAAGAAGCTGGTTCTGGTTCAGTCAATTGGACCCGGTGTTACACCATATTCTGTGACCTGCAACAGTGCATGCAACACCACCCCCAACGGTCACAATATACGGTGGTCACAGAATATGGTGTAACACCGGTTCACAATGCGCTCCAAACAGTCAGGAAGTTGTTTCATTTTCTGTTTCCTTACGGTAGTTGAACCAGAAGATTCATCTTTAGTGAAATATTTCCAGACTATTGATGCATTTCTACCTGTTTGCCAAGACTGGGCCTGCTCCGCTCCATCCGTCTGCTTGAAGGAATCCATTTTGTAACCCGCGCCGGTGCGGATCTCGTGACACGTGGCGTAACGACGACGAAATGATGTCACCACGAATATTCGACGTGAAATAAAAAAACTCAATAGATGTCCTAGGAATCTATGTGTAGATTACTCTAGTAGTCTGATAAAGCCATATATTTTCTTTTTATATATAACTAAGTATGGAAATACGTATATATATATATATATATATATATATAGAGAGAGAGAGAGACAGAGGGGTGAGAGGGGTGAGAGTGGTGGCGCAGAGGTTAGAAAAGGTGGGCCTGTGATCGGAAGAGTCCTTGTGCTGGGTGGGTGTGGTCCTTAATGATGCTGCATGTTTTACGCAGACATCGGCTGTGGTAGATGTCCTGGATGATGTGGAGACTGCTACCAGTGATGTCCTCTGCTGTTTGCACCACCCTCTGTAGATCTTTCTAGCTCTAACTGGTGCAGTTCCCGTACCATCCTGTGATGCAGCCTGTCATCAGGCTCTCGGTGGTTTTGACAACAGGTATACAGGAAGTACATGCATGGAGTCATGAGAATCTGCCACGGGCAGTGTGCAAAACTTATATTTATATTGTAATGAAGATAATATGCGTCTGATATTATCCATAATTTAAACGGATTCTTTCATTTTTCTGGACTGAGTAATATCGTGTTTTGAATATTAAATGTGGACGGAAACGTGTTTTATCTTTGACCCACCACAACAGTGAGTCGTTTAATTAAAAACGATTTAAAACACATCACACATTTACATTAATTGGCAACATTGGTTACAATAACACAGCTTAATTAATGACCCTTGCATGAGAAAATCATGCGGCCATGATTTTCTCACTTGCAGCTTTGAAACCAACAGACATTTCTGAAGAAATCTGGATTAATAAACTGGCAAGATAGAGGTTTAAAGATGGGAAAAATGAAGTTTAACTGGAGAAAATGGATGAGGAAAAAGTGTCTGTATAACCAGAACAGCACGCTTCTTTAGACGCAGCTTAACCCACGGTACACTCGCAGTTGAAGATCGACTCTTTTACCTTTGCAGACGATAGTTTCAGCTTCGGCGTAGAGTTCCCTTTCAATGCTTTTCAGCATCTCCGTAAGAACAGCTGTGACCTCAGGAGTCGTGAGATCATCACAGAACAAACTTCCTCATTGTTCAGAGCATTCGTCGGGTAGAGCCACAGCGAGACGTCGTGGCATCGACGGACTCTTGTCACTCCATTAGAAACTGCTCTGAACTTCTGTTCCTCTGAACTTCTATCGTTCAGGAACTTCTCGTTCGAGGTTCTCCCTGGAACTCTGGTTCTCTCTGGAACTCTTGTTCTGCCCTGGAACTAGGAAGTGTCGACCCTTTTAAAGAGGTCACTTCCGGTTCCTTCTGGGAACTTCCTGATTGGTTGAACGAACCAACCGGGGTGTGGTTTTAGTGATGTCAGAGGGTCACTACATGTCAAGGAGACAGAGTAGATGTTTTAAGAACAGACAGAAAGATGTTTTGAAGAAACAGAGACATTTAGGAGCCAGTCTCCTTCTATCTATCTGAGAGAGTTAAACATGACATTTCGTTCCGATAAACATGTTTTTGACCGTTCTCTGACTTTTGACCGACATCACTCCTTCTCATTTCAGACAGAAGATCAAAAAATGCATAATTACTCTGTAACAGACATTAACTTGATTTCTACTTTGAATGAGGATTAAAAATCATTAATACTGTTTCACAGTTGATTTAAAATGAGTAGTTCACTTCAACATTTAAAATGGTTTGAACTAAACACACTTTGATTATCAAGATATTGTAAAATAGTAATGATAATAAAAAAGAGAGTGTTCTTTCAATTGATTAGTGCAGGACACACTTAGAAAGTCTCTGGATGAGCTTAATTTGTGTTTCTGGACTCAAATCAATGAAATAACAGTTCCTGTCCCAGGAAGGCCCTCAGGGTCAGGTTTTGACCTGAGGCTTAGTTCACTACAATATGTTCAACCTTGAAGCAAGAGCTGCATGCCTGCAGCCTCAAACCAGTTCGTCAGCAGCTCTCTGCTAAGTCAAACATACCGTTCGTGGACAGTTAACATTCTCAGCCTTAGTTGTCAAAACATCCATACAACCTTGACCAAAGATCCCCTAACAATAATATGCACATTTTGGTCTGTGGAAGGAAACCCATATGTGCACAAGGAGAACACGTAAACTCCAAAGACTCTACTTTCTAAGAAGACTAAAGAAGTTTGGTACAAACACCAGCATCCTCACCAACTTTTATAGGTGCACCATTGAGAGCCTGCTGACAGGCTGCATCACAGGATGGTACGGGAACTGCACCAACCAGAGCTGGAAAGTTCTACAGAGGTGGTGCAAACAGCAGAGGACATCACTGGGAGCAATCTCCACACCATCCAGGACATCCACCACAACTGATGTCTGCGTCAAGCACGCAGCATCATTAAGGACCACACCCACCCAGCACCAGGACTCTAACGTCTACTACACTCAGGTAGACGATACAGGAGTCTGCCATCACATACAAAAAGACTAAAGGACGTTATTACCCACAAGATGTCAGATTACTGAACTCTGAATAAATAACACTGAACATCTGGCAATAACTAATAATTATACCGCAATGTCACTGTCACACAACCCGTGTGGTATATGTTGATTATATGCAGTACACACACACACACACACACACACACACACACACACACACACACACACACACACA